AAAGTTTGTTAATCTGTATGTTTTAGGTACACGCGGTTCGTTTCTACCAGGAGGAAGTTAATCTCGAAGCAGTGCTGGAAAGGACCACTTGCCCAGGTGGCAGCGTCAGAATTTGGGATTTGGAGTCAGAGAGCCCTGAGTTCCAATCTTGCCTCAGATGCATGCTAACTGTATGATCCTTGGCAAGTCACCTACACTCTTAGCCTCAGTTTCCTCATCTGTAAAATGGGGATAATAACTGCACCAACTTTGTTGTAAGGATCAACTGTAAAGCCAAAGCACTCAGTAAATGTTAGCTATTATTATTTTATGGATGAGGAAACTGAGGCCCAGAGAGGTTAAGTGATTTTGCCCATGTTCACAAAGGCATAGAACAGGGTTTTGAACCCAGGTTATTTGACTCTAAATCCTGTTCTTGTTCCTCCATATTTGGCTAATTTTCGGATTTATGATGATGTCGCCTCCATCCACTCAGTCACTCAGACTCAAAATCTTGGACTCCTCGCCCATCCATTTACCCCCTGAATCAGTTTGCCAAAGGCCGTCCCTTTCAACGTCACAACATCTCAGGCACCTGTAAACCTCCTCTCTACCCCCACTGCCGTCACCTTCATTCAAGTCCTCACCACCTCTCACTAGACCATCATTTTTGCCGTTGAGTTGTTTTTCGTCATGTCCGATTCTATGTGACCCCATGTGGGGTTTTCTTGGTAAAGATACTGGAATGATTTGCCATTTCCTTCTCCAGCTCATTTTACAGATAAAGAAACTGAGGCAAACAGGGTGAAGTGACTTGCTCAGGGTCACACAGCTGGTAATTGTATGAAGTACCATTTGAACTCAGGTCTTCCTGACTCCAGGCCTGGCACTCTGTGCACGATGGCGCCACCTAGCTGCTTTAGACTATCATCGCTGCTCACTAATTCGTTTCTCTGCTCCGGTCGAAGGATCATTCTTCCTAACATATATATCTCTGATCACTGCCTAAAAAATCCTTCAGGGGCTCTCCATTGTTTACCAAATACATTATAAATTCCTGATTCTTACATTTTGTGCTTAATAAATTTTTTTCATTCATTCATTTGTTCATTCAATAAACAGTTTAAAAATTTTTATTCAAAACTTAACCTCAAACAAAATAGGCATTTAATAATGGAACAGAAAAATGAGGATTGTAATGAAACTGTGAATCTATACTATATGCAGCTTGACTCTTCATTTACAATATAAAGAACGTTTCTAAATAATGCTATTATAAATGACAATTCATACATGTAGCTTTCAAAGCTTCTATGTTTCTCTGTGATTTTTTCTGGCCTTCCTTTAGCTCATTTAAAAATACTCTTTTCTTTTTTCTCTTTGTGTGTCTGTGTGTTTTGGAAGGTATTGCTGGGCAGTGGCTACCAATTCTCTGATACTATACAAAGATCTGCTGTACATATGTTTGTATATATAGGTTCTTTTCCTTGGTTAAAATGATTCCTGCGGCATAGTTCCCAATCATTTTCCAGAATGGCTGGACCAATTCACGAGTCTACCAACAACGTATTAACATGCCTGCTCCAGCCCTTTCTACATTTGTCGTTCTGTCAATCTAATGGATGTGAGGTGGAACCTCAGAGTTGTTTTAACTTGCATTTTTCTAGGTATTAATGATTTGGTGTTTTTTGTTTCTGTTTTCGTTTTTTTGCTTTTGGTTAGGCAATCCGGGTTAAGTGACTTGCCCAGAGTTACACAGCTAGTGAGTGTTATGTGTCTAAGGCCAGTTTTGAACTCAGGTCCTCCTGACTCCAGGGCTGGTGCCACCTAGCTGCCCCCTGTGAACTTTTTATACGGTTGTTGATAGCTTGAATTTCTTCCTTTGAAAATTGCCGGTTCACATCCTGTGTTTATCTATGAAGAAAGGCTCTCGACAAGCATTTATTAAGGATCTACTTTGTGCCCAGGTATTGTGCATTGGTGTTACAAAGACAAAAAATCTTGAATTAATCCCTGCCCCTCAGGGAGCATACATTCTACCAGGAAGAAAAAAAATATAAAAGTAAATACAAAATAAATATGCAAAGTAATTTTTTGGAGGACAAGTGAGGAGATTGGGATAACTCTCCTGTAGGAGGTGGCACCTGGGCATAGGCTCCAAGGAAGAGAGATTTTCTAAGAGGCAAATACAAGGAGGGAGTGACTTGCCTAAGATTACTGAAGAGCTGAAAGAAGGTTTGAGACTCAAAAAAATTGTGGGAGTGCTTTCTGTTCCGGAAACATCTCTTCTTCCTCTTCAAAAGGCTACAGCATGCTCATTGAATCCAGTTCCAATGGGAATAGGAGATGAGGTGGAGTGATTTTTTTTTCTCTTTTAAGAAAAGGATACTAAAAGTATACTCAAGTGTGCATGGAAGGGAAGCTGTTTTGTGGGGGGGTATATAGCTCTTCATTTCAAGTAAGCTGAAATAGTCCTAGGGAAGAGAGAACTGAAAAGAAGCAGAACTAACAACCGAGCTCTCATCCACCTATCTCAGCAAGAGCTGCAGCATCACCACGTACCGGGTTTGTCTTAGCATAAAGCCTCATCTTTATTTCTTTCAGGATATAAAACTTGCATTTAAATCAATTCAGAGAAGCACTTCAGCTTTGAACATTAGTGAGCTGGGGAGGGCCTCTTTAATAAGACATCATTATTCCATTTCCAGAGAGTGGTTGTGGAAGCTTCTGCCTCTGATGAAATCCCACAATTCTTTCCCTCAATTATAATTATAGATGGGTCTAAAAGGAAACACGACTGCATTACTGTCATAGTTATTCTTTTGACAGGTGCTATGGGGCTGTGATTTGATGTAATGACTCAAAACCGAGGAGAGGCACAGAACTCTTCCTTGGCAGATTCCCATCCAGGGGATAGGATTCCCCTTAATACAAGAGGCTTGGGAGAAATGGGATTCCTCAGAGGAGTTTGGGGCTTATAAGCCTCTGCTTTTAACACCTTTGATGTTTTGGTGTTAAGGTCCAAAGACTGAGAGGGAATTGATGTGGAGGACATTGAGTGGGAAGAATTTGATTAAGAGAGGGGGGATTAGGGAAGTTTGTGGGAAGGCAGGTATGGAATTTGGAGGGAGGAAAGTTGGTAGGAAAGAAACTGGGAAATTCAATTGGGGGCAAGAAGTTGGTATGGAGGGAATAGGGAATATGGTGGGAAGAGAAAGTTGGTGGAGAAAAATTTGATAGGGAGGGAACTGAGAGAGAAAGTTGGTAGGGTGGAAATGAGGGCATTTGTTAGCAAGAGAAGCTGGGGAAAAGAGAAACAGGTAGGGAGAAGTTAGTAGGAAGGGAATGAGAGAATATAGTAGGAAGGAGAAATTGGTGGAAAAGAATTTGACGGGGAAATGGGAGGGGGAACGTTTGTAGGGAGGAGACTAGGGTATTCGTTGGCAAAGGATACTGGGGAAAAGAAAAACTGGCTGGGAGAAGTAACTAAGGCATGCTTTATCTATAAAATGCCCTTGTCATATAGGGAACTAAGAAATTTGGAGGAGAGACGTTTGTGGGGAGGAAACGAAGGTATTTGGTGAGGAGTGAACCGGACCAGGAGAAATTGATGGGAAGGGAAATCCGAAATATGGTGGGAATGGAAAACGGATGGAGTAGAAGAATTTTTGGGGGAGAATTGGGACTAGAGATGGGGTCGAGTTCGTCGGAGGGAAATTAGGGAATACGTTGCAAAGGGAAAGTGGGGAAAGGAATATTGGTGGGAGAAGTTGGGGGAGGCATAATTAGCGCATGCTTTATAGTATAAAGTAAACTAGGGAACTGGAGAAGTTGTTGGGCAAAAGTGGGAAAGGAATTGGGGAATTTGGAGGGGAGAAGTTGGTAAAGAGAGAACTTGAGGATTCGATGGAGCGGAGAAATTGGTGGGTTGGTCAGGCTGGTGCGGAGTCCCTGGGGCGTGTTCCACCCCCAGATCCCTCCCAGCCCACATTTGATTGACAGGTCCGCAGATTCCCAGCGACTGACAACTGGCTTGACACGACGCCGAGGTTCCAGAGATCAGCCGGCAGAGGGCGCTCGAGGCAGTGCACGTGTCCCCGTCTCTCCTCCCCGCCCGGAGCTGGAGCGAGCCCCAGCTCGCGCGCGCACGACGATCTGGCGCGCGCCCGCACGCGCCAGCGCCCGTGTGCGCAGGCGCCATCTCGTGCCGCAGTCCCGGCAGCCGTTGTTGCAGCGGCTGCCGTCGTCGCTACCGCCGCCTCCTCCTCCGGGCCGACGTTCCAAACTAGAACGCAGCGTCGCCCGCCCGCCGAGCTAGGTCAGAACCAGGGCCCGGGACGGGAGCGGACCGCGGTGGGGGTGGGGGGAGGGGCTGCCCTCCCATCGCGCGCAGGCGCCGCGCAGCCCGCGTGGAGCTCCCTGCGATGATATTGACCAGGCCCTTTAAAGTTGGCTGGCGGAGGACGCTCTGCGGGGCCGCAGCGCCTTCCTGCCCCCCCCCCACCGAGGCGGCCCCCCGGAGTGCGCATCGCGTGGGGTCGTGGAGCCAGGGACCCCAGAGAGGCCTGCTGAGGCCCAGGGAGGTGACGTGACGCCCAAGATCGCAGGCAGAAGCCAGAGTCACTGTGCTTTGCACTGTCTCCTGAGGCCCTAGGCACTCGATCCCTGACCTTGCCGGACGGGTAACCTTGGCTCCTGGTGTAGGGTTTCTTGGGAAATGAGTTAAACGTGAAGTGGAGTAGAAGGCTCTAGGCTTCAGGCTCACCACTGAAACAACACAACGTTTTCCACTTTCACTTCGTTCCTTTCTCCAAGTGCATAAAAATCCAGGACAGACGGCCGTCCACCAAGGACTTTTGTGGAGGTCAGTGTTCTCGCGGTGGAGGGGCGAGTGTTGCGCATTTCTGGGAACCCTTGCTTTCAGGCAGGCAGCCAGGGACTTGGGATCTGGCTTTGCATTCTGCCTCTGACGCTTTGTAGCGCCTTGACTCCGCCTTGGGAGACTCTGCCGTGGGAGGGGTGGAATTCAATTCAGCACCCACCGAGTGCCAGCAGCCCGCCTGTCTCCTCTTGAGAGCAGGGACTGTGTCCCGGGTACTTACCGAAGTGCCTGGCATATAGTCGGCGCCTCATACCTGTTTATTGACTGACGGCTGCGTTGGTAAAGGCTGGTCCTCTGCACCACGTGAAATCCTGAGTCCAGTCCAAAAGAAAAAAAAATGTGCTAAGGCCTGTGCTGTATACAAAGAGAAAATAAAGGTGTTGACATGACTCTATGGAGACTCCTGTGGTCGAGGTTGTCTTGCCAGAACGCTTTCCTAGAAAGGTAAACTAAGTAAGAAAATTGTGGAGTAGAGGAGCTGGGGGAAAATTCTTGGCACAGAGTTTGTGGAGCCATTAGAGGTCTTGACCCAAAGCAGGGCTTCCACAAGGGGGTGTACTGCTCGGCCAGCTCCTCTAGAGGCTCCCAGGAAACTGGTAGGGAGGGTTTTCCTTGGTTTCTGGATTGGGTTAAGTGGGAAGTAGTCATTCTACTGTGGGATCGGATATTTAGAGCTGGAAGGAACCGTAGGGGTCATCTGGACTCATCGTTTTACAGATGAGGAAACTGAGGCTCAGAGTGAGGTGAAGCTCCTTGTCCAGTGTCACACAGGTAGTACATGGAAGGGCCAGGATTCAGACCCGGGTTCTCTGACTCAGAATCCAGCCCTCTTTCCACAGCCCCCTTACCCTACTCTTCCATGTTGCTATATTCATAACCATTTTTCCCCTTCTTGGCTCTGGGTACCATTACTCTCCACTTAGAGTTCCTGCCATAACAGAGGAACAGTGATTGGAAAGGTTCATAACACTTAGATTTGAGAGGCTTCTGACTTGGGGACCCTTAAATTCCTTGTGTCACCCTCTTTGATTTAAGGTTCAGTTCTTCTCCAGAAAGAAAAGATAAAAGTAGTGTGTTGCTAGGGAAAGAAGGATGGCACTGGAATCACCCGATCTGCATTCAGATCCTGTCTCTTCTTGCTACTGTGTGACCTTGGGTAGATCATTTTCCCCTTGGGCTTTATATCTGTAGTGTGGAGGTTGGACCAGGTGGGTGCTAAGATCCATGCAGGCTCTGCATTTATGATCCTGTGATCAGGACTGATCTGTGGTTTCATTTCTTTCCTCTGGGTATGTAGAGAGGTCCAGTCCTCAGCTTATCCCTACATCCTCCTTTTCTATCCTTAACTGCCATCTTCCCACCAAGCCTTCTGGCTGATACTTTCAAAGAGAATAACACCGAGAAATTCGATGACCTCCAAGCTGGATGACCTTTTGCTCTGGTGCACACAAAGAAATCACAGAAAACGACCCAGAGATTTGTTAGTGGGGGAGGAAGACATTGAGGCTAGAAAGGGGCTGGATAAACCACACGTTGGTAGTAGGTTTTTTGTTTACTTATTTGTTTTTCAGGCCAACCTTCATAAACACATCCCAGGTGAAAACTACTCTCAGATTAACTTTAAGACAGATTTAGCTTGGGAGAAGCAGATCCAGGTTCAGCAGAATACTGGAGGCAGGAGATATGGCTTCCAATCCCACCTCTGACACGTGACTTCTCTGGGCCTCAATTTCCTCATTTGCCTCTTAGGCCCTTTCCAGCTCTAGAGCTATGATGGTCACTTGGGGTACAGCTTCCCCCTCACCATGGAATGAATCTGGGCTTCCTGATAGAGTCACATTTTACTTATTTTTGGTAACTAGGTGATAAATTCAACTGTTTTTGTGTTTCTGGCGTATAAGAACTACCAGCACCCTCACAATTTTGGCGCCCTAGGGCAAAGTGCTAGTTGCCCTGCCCTAGTTATGAGTCCTTTTATCCACTAAGTAAGTTAGAGCTGGTTGTGCTGCTGCCTTGGAAAAGAAGGAAGACTACTAAAATGTTAGGTTATGCTTTTGGGAGTGATGCAGGAGCATTCGGGGTGACTCAGCTCATCGTATACCCACATGTTAAATGAACTTTTTCCCCCCTTTTTTGGTTCAGATCTTTAAGTGAATCCACGTGGATCAGCTACTGGATATTACCGACTGTGACTAAAATAACCTCCCACCCCTACTTGCTGAGTTAGTTACTAAGGATTGCTTGCATCTTTGGGTAATATTTCAAAGTTACACTCTCTCCAAATGTTCATTTGGAAGGCTACAGATGGTAGCCATCTGTTACGTGACTAGCAATTTACAATATTTGATTAGCACTTTGTATGGCGAGGGTAGACCTGCCAGTACAGTCTTGCAGGCCACTTCGGGAAAAATTTGGCGGCAGTCTCCGGGTTGGGCCAGGGTGCCTTTAGGGCAGCGGTCAGAAGTCCTGGTTGTGCTGGGTGTTGCGTCTCTGCCCCGGTCAGGTTGAAAGCTGGGACTGGAACCTGGTAACTGATCGCTGATTTTTATGAAGAATAGCTTTGAGAACTAAATTCATTCCATCCTCCTTCATGCATTTTCCTTGGGTTGTCACCACCCATACCCATTAGGAAGTTGGATTTATAAGACTGATGTCAAAGCTGGGTCCTGGAAGGCTGGAAAGGCTGCGGCTTTCCACCTACTGAGAGTTCCTGACCTCTGTTGTGGCTCTGACCTTTCTGGCAGTCTGGGGACACCCATGCACCCCTTTCGGAATGATGTTCTTCAGTTCGTAACATAAAACACAGAAAATTGCAAAGGAAACTAATGATGTTGAAATACTGTGATGAAATTATTTTTTATTAATCAGTTTAATTTTGTTAATACATTTTGTTTTATTAAATATTTTAAAAGAGTTTGTGAGCCCCCATTTAAGAATCCTTGCCATATAGTGTGAATGAACAAATAAATGAAAAAGCATTTATGAAGTATGTGTTGTGAGCAAAAGCAGACAGTCCCTGCCTTTAAGGAAATTATATTCTCTTGGGGAAGATGGTACCTGGAGGTGGCCTGGGAGGGGTGCTCTGGTTGGAAAAGTTGTAGGGATAGTGGGGAGTGGCTTTGGGGAGCAGATGGACCTGCTCTAACCAGGAAGAATGACTGAATTGATGTGAGCATGGTTTGTGGTTTCAGAACTGGAAGTTGGGGAGGCAGGGCAAGCCAAGGCCAGAGAGTGGGAACAAAGTGGCAATTTGGGGCCGGGGGGGTTAGAGTGGCCCAGGAGAGGCAGCCCCAGGCCAGAAGTTTGTCCTTCGACAAGGCAGGAGGCTGTGAGGCTTTGAAACAGATGGCCCAAGAGCACCCAGTGAAATGGTACTGCTTGAATTGAATCAGTCCATTTGTTGCATGGATGGCTATTTTCTGTAAAAGGTCAACACCCTGAAGACAGGGAAGGTTTTGTTTTTGTATTTGTCTTCCTTCCCTCATCATCCCCAGGTCTTTTCAAAACAAACCCTGCTCCCCATCTGTGGTGGGGACAGCTAGTGTCCTCGACTGGTTGTTTACCCTTCCTTTTCCAAAAGGCCCAATGACGTCATGATGCAGTGAGTGATGCCTTGACTTTTGAGTGAATTGGATTAAAGTGAGACACAGTTATGCAGTCTTCTTCCCTCCCTCCCTCCTTTCTCCCTTCCATCTTCCTTCCTCCCTCCCTTCCTCCTTCCCTCTCTCCCTCCCTTCCTGCCTCCCTTCCTGCCTCCCTCCCTGCCTTCCTTCTCCATTCCTTCCCCCCTTCCTTCCTTCCACCCTTCCTTCCTTCCTTCCTTCCTTCCTTCCTTCTTCTTCCTTCCTTCCCCCTTCCTTCCTTCTTCCCTCCCTCCCTCCTTCCCTCTCTCCCTCCCTCCCTTCCTTCCTTCCCCCTTCCTCCCTTCCTTCCCTTGCCTTCCCTTCCTGCCCTCTTCTTTCCTTCCTCGCTCCCTCCTCCCTTCCCTTCTTCTTTCCTTCCCTCTTTTCTCTCCCTCTCTTCCTCCCTGCCTCCCCTCTTGCCTTCCTCCTCCCTCTATTCATTTATTCACTATGTCCTAGAACAGTACCTGGACACGTAGTTGGCGTATAATAAATGTTTTTTAAATTGAATTCCGGGAGAATACAAAATTACTTTTGGTGTGGGTGGTTTTAAGGGGCCCCAAATGTGACATAAAATCAGAAAAAACAATCATTAGACCTTTTTTCTTAATTTAAAGCTGTACATTGGGTTGGGCTCTTGTTTCTTTTCTGCTCCAGTCTATACAATCACTTAATATCTGGCCCTTGATTTCTTGTTCTTTAAAATGGGAAGAATCATTCTTGTGGAATGGGAAGATAGAATAGCAATTAAATGGGAAATAATGGGGTTTTTTGGGGGGGTGTCCTAAAATGCTTCTATATAGAGTTACATTATTGACATTCTGTTATTTTCTGTCTCCTGCTAGAATTTTCTCTTAAGAGCCCTAAGGAGAGCTAAAAATAAGTCTCTTTGCCAAAAGCTGGGAGATTAACTGTCTCGTGGCTTGTTATGAGGAGATAAATTTTATTATTGTTATTATTACTAATAACAACAACTTATTACTACTATTATTATTATTACTGATAATAACAACTAAACTCAGCTGTCCCTAGACCTGCTCACAAATCCCTTCCTGACCAATGTGGCCTAGTGGATTGAGCACTGGCCTTGGTGTCCCAGAGCCCTGGGTTCCACTCTTGTCTCTGACGCTTACTGGCTGGCCCGGTTGCTTGTCCTCTCAGGCCTCGGTTTCCCCATGTATAAAATGGAGGGGTGTGACTCAGTGACCTCTGAGTTACCTCCCAGCTTTTAATTTCTGATCCTGCTCTCTGAGACAGCACGGACTAGACACCGTCTCTGGGCCTCAGTTTCTCCATCTGTAAAATGAGGGGGTTGGGCTCGAAGACTTCTGGGTTTCCTTCCATGTCTAAAATCTATGCTCTCACAATCTTTGCTGCCATGAGAGAGACTCGTCATTTCCCTAAGGCTTAGTTTCCCATACAGAAATGCGGATAATAAGACATACAGCAGCTCAATCCCAAGGTGTCTGTAAGGCTGAAAGTAGGTGATGTCTGTTAAGGGCTTTGCAGACTTTAAGGCACTAGATAACATCACTTGGTGTCTGCCCTGCCCAGGATGAGGTACGGAGCGGGCCTGCTTTGGGGCAGGAGGATCTCACCGGTGACACGCGCCCACCCAGACGTGCCAGGGCGGCTGTTTGGAGTTGTTGTTACGTAGTTGGGATGGATTGTGTGGAATCCTCCACGTTGTCCCCCCGCCTTCCTGGGGACCACCTTGGAGGGGTGGCCAAGGACACTTGGGAAGCGTGTTGTTTTCTCTGCTTGTACTTCTCTAGGGGAGAAGCTGGGATTTTTTATTTGTTTGTTTGAGGAAGAAGTGAGAACATGAGAGAGATGGCTTTTCTCTCTTTTCCTTCTATTTTTGGCAGCAGTAATCAATCGAGAAACGTTTATATAGCACCTACTGTGTGCTTAGCACTATGTGCTAGGTATTACTTAGGAAACTGTCTTGTGAGAAGTGTACTGAGGCCAGTAATAATGGTGATAACAATAGCTGACATTTACATAGTTCCTACTATGTGCCAGGCAGACACTGTGCTGAGGGCTTTACAGCTGCATCTGATCCTTACAGTGGGGTGGTAGTGGTAGGGTTATTATCCCCATTTTACAGATGAGGAAGCCAAGGCGAACAGATATTAAGGGACTTGCCCAGGATCACACAGCCACGATCTGTCTGAGGCTAGATGTGAGCTCTGGACTTCCTGACTGGGCTGTATGCACTGCAGCCCCACCCTGTGACCTTGGACAGTTCATTCAGTCCGTTTGAGCCTTAGTTTATCCACCTGTAAAATGATTTGGGTTGGATCAGATGACTTCTGAGGGCCCTTCCGGCTCCAAGTCTGTGATGCTCCGATGCCTAGAAGGTCAGAGCTGGAGGAGACGTAGAGCTAGCTGTCCAATCCACTCCTTCCTTACACAGATGTGGGGGCTGAACCTGACTCCAGCCAGCCATCCAGTATTGGAGAGATGTGAGACATTCCTGGCTCATCTAGTAGTTGATAAAAGAAGAGATAGACAGTATCACACTCCTCCCCTTCCTCCCTCTAGAAGTCCTTTCTCTCTTGGCCTTGGCACATCAGCTAGGTCTGAAGGGCCCCAGCTCCAAATGTTCCTTTTTAAGCCCTTAGGTGACCAGGAAGCCAAGTGAGCATGGCCTGAGGCCACCAGAAAGTGGCATCAGCTTTTAAGAGGGGGCATTTAGCCTGAGCTCTCTGGCCCAGTCTAGTCTCAGGGACAGCTTTTCAGTTTTCTGGAGGATTTAGCTTGATCCTCAGGGCGAAGGGGCAGGAAATCCTAGCCTATCACACCAGAGGACACTGAAGCCCAGGAAGGGTGAGAGATCTGTGACACTCAGTGCTGGCTTCCTTTGGTGGTCTTCTGATCCAAGCCCATCAGTTCACAGATGAGAGGAAACAAGGGGGAGGGGTAAGTGAAGGGACCTGTCCAAGGTAACCTAGCTGGTAAGTGGCAGAGCTGAGCCTGGAATCCTTGTTAGGGGCTCTTTCTGCTATACCATGCTGGCAGCTGAGGGGCCCAGTGGATAAGCTGGAGTCAGGAAGACCTGAGTTGAAATGTGGCCCTAGACATTTACTAGCTGTGTGACCCTGGGCAAGTCACTTAACCGCTGTCTGCCTCAGTTTCCTCAACTGTAAAATGGGGATCATACTAGCACCTCCTGTGGTGGTTGTGAAAATCAGGTGAGAGCATATCTGTGAAGGGCTTTAGCACAGTACCTGGCAGTGGCCCTTAGTAGGTATTTAACAATTGTTCCCTTCTTCCTCTCCCTCACCTTGGGTCCTCTCTCCTGTGCTCTCTAGGGGAAGAAGGTGATGCCGATGGGCCCGCTGCCGGGCGCCGAGTTAGTCCAGACGCCGCTGCAGCTGTACCGTTACCTGCTGCGCTGCTGTCGCCGGCTGCCAGCCAGGAACATCCAGGAGCACTATAAGCACGCCATCAGACAGGTGGGAGGAGGCCCCTGCCGCAGGGCGCGGCCTCCATTCAGCTTGTGCCTGCTCTGCGGGGGCAGACCGCCCGCCATCCTGTAGGCCTTAGCCTGCCTCGTCCAGCCCCCAGCCAGCTCACTGCTCACACTCTGAGCCCAGCCGGGCCGCCCTTCCTGCTCTTGCTCACCCATGGTACCGTCTCCCCACCCCCGCCTCTTAGCTGCCTGCAGAGCTCAGCTGGGTGTCATCCCTGTCGTGAGGGCTTCCCTCACCCTCCAGTGACCTCGTCACGGGCTTTGTCTGAAGGCATATAACCTAGATGGGTCCGTGTTGTCTCCTGATAGAACGTCAGCTCCGTGAGGGCAGGAGCAGTGCCTTGGCACAGAGTAGGTGCTTAAAAACTGCTCATTGATGGATTGGTTTGTATACAGCCAGTGCTTAATAGACTGTGTTGTACTTCTCTGCAGTTAAACGGTGTTTAACTTCAAGCTGGCTTCCCAGCTTTTCTAAATATCCCTTTTGCCAACAGTTGTGAGCTTGGGAAATGTCTGCTTGTTTTCATGCCAGCCAAAGGCAATCCCAATTAGAAGTTAAGCTGCTGCCGCTGCTGCTGCCACTAAAGAAAAAAACCCCAGCCTTGAAAGCCAAAGGGTTAGTTGGATTGTCCCCACCACTGCCTTTGTTCAGTATTGAGAAAGGACCCTACAGTCCTTTAGGTCCGGGATTACTCACTGTGGGTTCCTGTGGTCATCCCATTTTCTTGGAGGAGGAAATTGATTATAGGATCATGGATTTAGAGTTGGGAGTGAACGTTGTATCTAGCTCCTCCATTTTACAGATGAGGAAACTGAGGCACAAGAGGTTAAATAACTTACCCAGAGTCACACAGCTAGTAAGTATCAGAGATAGGATTCAGTCCCAGGGCCTGGGGCAGGAATTGGTTTCTCCCAGGAGCTGTGAGCCCAGATTCTGGAATTTGCTGGCCCTGGAGCCTCTGAGTTCCGTCCCTGATAGAATCTTTCTCTTTGACGCTTTTGGTTCTGTTCAGTGGCGGGGGCTTCAACAGACCCTCTGCCAGCGAGATTGGAACTCAGGTCTTCCTGATGCCAGACCCAGTGCTCTATTCGCTAGCCATTGTGCTTCACACTTCAAAGAAATAGTCTCTGATCCATTGGCATAGACTATCAGAGCTGCAAGGGACCTTAGGCAGCTTCTAGGGAGTCCAGTGGATAGGGCTGTAGGCCTGGAGTTAGGAAGACCTGAATTCAGAACCTGCCTCAGACACTTACCTGTGTGTCCCTGGGCAGGTCACTTATCCCTGTTTGCCTCCGTTTCCTCAGCTGTGAAATGGGAATAGTAATAGCACCTACCTCCCAGGGTTGGTGTGAGGACCACGTGGGGTGATAATTGTAAAGTGTTTAGCACAGTGCCTGGCACGTAGTAGGTCCTGTATAAGTGTTAGCTGTTCTGATCATCCAGTTCAGCTGTCTCATTTCGCAGGCCTGGCACTAGAGCTGAGGCCTCCAGATTTCTGGCCCAGGGCTCTTTCCACGCTGCCTTCTCCCGAAAACACTTCCTGAGGAATCGCTGCCATCTCCCTAAACCAATAGCCCCTTACCCAAAGGGCGCTGTCTGCACAGAAGCAGTTGGGAGGCCCTCTGGGGGTAGGGTGCTGTCCTAGGTGCTGACACACCAGCCTGCAGACTAGGGGGTTGGCTGGCCCCTACGAGGATTGAATTTTCACAAAACGCTCCAGATGACCTTTAGACATTGTGGTCATCAGTTTAGAGCTGAGAGGGAGCTTAGGGGGCATTCCCCCCATTTTAAAAGTGAGGAAACTGAGGCCCAGAGAGAGGATGTGAATTGCTGATGGTCGCACCGCCCATAAGTGGCAGCCCCAGACTTGGTCTTTCTGATATACTGCAGTCTTTTTTTTTTTTTTTGGTTACTTGACCCCCACTTCCTTAAGTCCCCATCTTGTTATCTGAGCGTTGCAGTAGGGCTTCTCTGCCGCCTCCCCACTGGCACCCACACAAAGTTTATTTTTAATTACATGATTCCACATTAAATAATAACAACAATGATATTAATTACATCTATATAGCTTGTATTTAAAGTTTGCAAATCTCATCTGAGCCTCACAGCAGCCTTGTGAGCCAGTTAAAGATATTATCCCCATTTTACAGGTAAGGATACTGAGGCTCACAGGAGTTGAGTGACTTAACCCATGGCTCTTACAAGTATGAGAGGCAGAATTTGAACCCAAGACTAGCACTCATTCCAGTATATCGCTTTGCCTCATGAAAGGAAGGCCCCTCATGAATCCAGGTTGGGAGTCAGCTGGTACTTTGTAGTTAAAGGAGTCTTTCTGTGTTGTGCTGTGGGCCGAAGGAATGGGAGAACCCATAGTATTATTATTAATTATCATGAGATTTCAGAGTGAGCATGAGTTATCAGGAGATTGGAGGCTTGTAGCTTCCTTTTGGCCCTGACGACCTAGTGCTCCTTTTCTCCTTCCTAGTCGTCCCTTCTATAACAACAACTTGTTGAAATGAAACCAAAGGGAAGTAGGCCCTAAAGGTGTCTTGGGCCTGCCATTTAATTCTCTTTCACTCTGGCCTGATTTTCAGGCATGTGGATCCTTACTTTCATGGATACTTCTCTGTATCTCTGTCGTATAGTCAAGTTGCTGTATTGGCGTAGGGAGGTTCTACACTGGGAGTTTTAAGTCGGGACTGAACCCTTACCCTCACCTCCAGTGCTCACAAAACCCAGTTCTTCTGTGATAAATTAGCCATCATTACAAATTCTGCTCAATCATTTCTTCTCGTGCTTACACCTTCCAGAGTTTCCGAGTCCATGCAGATGAAGACAACCCGGAGAGAATCCAGCAGATTATTAGAAGAGCCATTGAAGATGCTGATTGGGTCATGAACAAGGTGAGTTCCATGACTTTAACATGGTCTCAGCAAGCTGCTCATGGTGGGAGATTGAGTGGTCTAGTGGGAGAGATGAGTGCAAGCCAAGATCTCCTTAACCACTAGGGGTTGCCCCTACCTCCCGGTGGTTGGGCCTCTTCCGCATTCAGCCTGGCCCCAGCTGAGGGACCCTCATTTTATGGAACTCGACAGTTTAAATACTTGTCCAAGGCCACAGAGACAGTGCATTGCAGGCCTGGGATCCAGAGTCCCGTCCTCCGGTGCCCCAGTCCAGCCCTCTTGCCTGGTGGCCAGTAGATGGCGCTCTTGACTTGGAGATAAGAAAGCCAGAGTTAGGATCCTGCTGCAGACACCTTGGTTAGCTGTGCAGCCCTGGGCAAGCTGCCTAGCCTCAGCTTCCTCATCTGTAAAATGGGGATAATAATAGCACCTGCCTCCCATTGTTGTTGTGAGGATCAGATGAGATAAGATAGGCAAAGCACTTTGCAAAACTTAGAGTCCTATAGAAATGCCTCTAGGCAGTGTGGTGGATAGGAAGACCTGAGTCCAGATCTGGCTTCATTTGCTTACTAGCTATGTGACCCTGGGCAAGGCATTTAACCTCTGTTTGCCTCAGTTTCCTCCTCTGTAAAGTGGGGATAAATCTTACCTCTATAAATGCTAGCCATTAATTTTATTGTCTCCCAGGCCACAAACTATATGGGAAGGAAGGGAAACCATGGAGGTGGGGGCTACCACACTAACTGCGTAAAGTCAGGCTGTTGTCAGTTAGTGGCGGCTGAGCCCGGATGAGGGGACGAGGAAGGGGAAGAGGAGACGGGAGTTTTTGAAAAAAACTATAACACACAATCCTGCCTACGTAGTGTAGCCCGCCTCCATACCGTGGTGTGTGGGCTGGGAGTGAGAGTTCGTTTTCTGGAAGTAACAGACACCCGCGCTAATCTAACAAGAACCTCCGCTTTCCCTGGCTCACATTCCTTTCGTGTCAGTCACGTTCAGCAGACAGTTATTTGGCACGTACCGTGTGCCAAGCCCTGTGCTGGGCGTCGAGGGGATGGACAGAGCCGATGGCAGCCCCTGCTTCCTGGGAGCTCGCCGGCCTCCTTGCTCTGCCCCCCGCTTCATCGGAGGAGAGAAGGGGCTCAAGGCAAGGGTGGTGGTGATGAGAATGCTAACCGTCGTCACACCTCAGTCAGTCAGCAAGGTGTATCAATCACCTGCTGCGTGCCTGGTGCGTGGGTAGGACTGGAGCTATGATTCGTTACTCTGAGGAGCGCCCGTGCGGGCTGGCACTTCCCGGGCAATCTCGCGTCTTAGAGAATCTCCCGCGTCACTGGCCCGGCTTCACCCAGCCGGGAGGGGCACAGGCTGGACTCAGACTTGGACCTTCCTTGGCCCAAGGCTGGCTCTCTGCCCTCTGACTCACAGCAGCGGTGTCCGCTGTGTCAGGGGAGCTCGTGTGTGCAGAGATCAGTGTGTGTAGAATCAACGCAGAATCAGCCCAGGGCTGGGAGGGAGGGCAGCAGCACTTAGGGGAGGGGTGTCATTTATTTGGCAGCTTCGAGTTCGCAGATCATTTCCTCACAGCAGACCTGTCAGGTAAGACTTAGTGTAAGTGGGGATATTACCCCATTTTAGAGATGGGAAAGTTAAGGCTTAAAAAGGTTGGTCATGTAGTACCTCCATTTTGTGGCTGGGAAAACAGACTCAGCTCATGGGATCATAGGGCCAGAAGGGACCTTAGAGACCATCGGGTCTCACTTTTATTTTACAGATGTGGAAACTGAGGCACAGAGCTATTTGCCTTGCCCAGGGTCAGGTAACTCATGGCTAGAGTGGGATTTGAGCCAGAGTGTAGTGCCCCGGCTGCTAGGCTACGCTCCCAGGGCAGATTCTAAGTGCCGAGTCACTGCGCGTTTGCTCCCAGCCAGGAGTGAGATCAGGAGCAGGGCATTCAGGATGTTTGAGCTTTGCAGAGCAGAGACCCTCCTCCCTGGCTTGTGTTGTGCCGTCCTCACCTCCTCACATTCTGTCTCCCCTTTGCAGTATCAGAAGCAAAACTAAGAAGCCACCGAGGCCTTTAGAGCCCAGAGCGCAAAACCCATTTGCCGTCAGCGGAGGCTCTGAGATGCCAGCGCCCCTGGGGTGAATTATTGGCGACGCCTTCGAGTGCAGATGTGCCCGGCTGACTCAGAGTGTCGAGGCAGAGGGGACAATCTGGAGGGTCGGATGCTTCCAGAGCCACGTGCACACGATCAGCAGTATCCTTCGCACCTGGCGTTGGATTTGGGCCACATCTGCCATTGGGCGGCCAGTTTGGAGAGGGAGTTCTCAACTTCATTGCTAAGTTTGGTTGCCTGTATTTATTCATTGTTTATCCATTTGCTCCTCAAATAATTATCAGCAGTCTAGTCAGAGACCAAGAAAGAAGTGTTTATTGAACCTGTCTTGCGTGCCTAGCACCATGCTGGGGGAGGGAAGAAGAGAATTAGAAATCTCTTGCCTTTCTTTCCATCCCTAGTGCTTAGCACAGTGCCCGGCGTGAAGTAGACCCTTAATAAATGCTTATCGACTGACTGACTGATGTCAGAATCAGCGCTCTTTCCCGTCGTAACACTTCGCGTGTGTGCGTGTGTCTTCTCAAAGAACCCAGCTCTTCTGCCTCACGCCCTCTCACCTGCAAGGAGGGAAATCCAAGGAAGGTAGGAGACAAGTTGCCGACAGCAGCAAGAGCTGAGTGAAAGAAGGAAAGAAATGCAGGAAGGCAGGACTTAGAAACAGCATGAATGCACCAGTCCCTTCTGTCTTGGGTATCGCCTCCAGATGGAATCAGCTTTTCCAGGCTCCTTTCTCAAATGAGGTTCTCAGCTGAACCTAGCAGTCCGATGAGGGAAGTGGGGCAGGTCCCTGCGCTTAACAGAGAAGAAAAGTGAGACTGGTTCAGCGACTTGTCTGGGGAGTTTTTGAATGATTCTTCTCTTAGTAAATGTTTTTTCTTTATTTATTCATATGCTCATTCATCCATGCAATGTGACTTCATTAAATAGAGTACAAGGGAAATTGTACATGTGTTAGATTGGATGGTAAGACAGAGTTAGTCCCCCTTGTTTCCCTGCAGGAAAATACTTACTGCTGATCAGTGAACAGGGAATTGGAACTCAGGGTGGAGTCCTTAACCTTTTTTGTTTCCTGGACCCTTTGACAGCAGGCTAGTGAAGCCTGTGAACCCTTTTCAGAAAAATGCTTTTAAATATGTAAAATAAAATACACAGGATTATAGTTATCAAAACATTTTTTAAAAATCAAACTCATGGACTTCCCAAATTAAGTGCTCCTGACTTAGGAGACTGTCGTCAAATTAGAGACACTAGTGTGCTGGGGTTTTTTGTTTCTTTTTTTGGATGGGGGAGCAGTGTGCCAATGATTTTTAATTTCATTTAATTTTTTTATTTCATTTTATATTTCATCAGTGTGGGAACTTCCCTGCATGGAAACTCCTTTCCCCAATGCACATGAACAACACCTCTGTAACTTGAGTCTTTTTTTTTTTTTAAAGGAATTCTTCCCTTCAGTGAGTTTTTGTGCCTCCTTTTCCATTTGGCCAATTCTCCTTTTTAAGGAGTTGTTTTCTTCAGTGTACTTTTTTTTCCCAGTTGGCCAATTGTATTTTTTAGGGCCTTGTTTTCTTCAGTGTACTTTTTTTCCATTTGGCCCATTGTATTTTTAAGGACTTGTTTTCTACAGTTAATTTTTGTCCTTCCTTTTCCAAGCTATTGACTCTCTCGTGCGTCCTTCTCATTTCTTTTCCACCTCTCTTACTTGACTTTTAAAATCCTTCTTGAGCTCTTCCAAGAAGGCTTTTTGGGCTTGAGACCAGTTCACATTCCCCTTTGAGGTTTTGGATGTGGGTATGTTGGCAATATTGTCCTCTCCTGAATTTGTGCCCTCATCTTCCCTGTCTCCATAATAAGAATCTGTGGTGGTTGTCCATTTCTGCTTTTTGCTCATGGTGTTTGCTTATTTCCTGACTTTTAAAAAAGCAGAGCTCTCTGCTGGAGTGCAGGGGGCACTGACCCAAGCTTCTTGTGCTGGAAGCCCAGGACCTGGTCACTGGCTGTGTGTGCTGGGGCCTCAGGTGCTAGCATTCGGGGGCTCTAGGGGTTTGGCAGCTTACCCAGTGCTGGGCTGGGGTTAGCAGCACTGGAGCTCTCGGGTGGGGGTGGGGAGTCTGGCCCCTGCGGGCTGCCTGCCCACCTGGGCCTTGCATTCGTATGCTTGGCTGCTGGAGGATGTCTGTCAGCCTGGAGCTTTGCCTCTTAGAATCGTGCTTCCCAGAGTTGTGCTGAGGTACTGGGAGATTTGGGCCGCTGGAGAATGCCGTCGCACGTGGTGGTTTTCTGAGCTGGTGTCTGCCCATTGTCCTACCTGTACTGAGGCATCGGGGTCCTGTTGTTGGCTCTTGCCTGCTCCACCACCCTGGCGCTCAGTATCTCCCCTGGTATGCTGAGGTGGGGCTTGCCGCTGGCTTCCTGGGGCACCTCTTGTCCTATACTGCTCCCCCGCCCCCAGAGCTAGAGGGGCCTTTCCTGTTAATCCCCCAAGATTCCTGGGCTACAGCACTGCTGTACCCTGTCTTTCTGATGGTTCAGCTGTTGCAGGGTTTTTCCTGGGGTGATATTTCCTGACCTTTCAGAAGTCAGTAAGGAAGGGTGAGAGCGACTTAACTTGTTACTCCTGTAACTTGAGTCTTAAAGAATTATTTTGAGTGAGAGGTTAAGTGACTTGTCTAGGGTCATACTGCCAATGTGTGTCAGAGACAGTTCTTACATCAGGTCTTCTCAGCCTCATAGACTTGAACTCATGGTACAGAAGTACATAGTACAGTCATGTCCCTCCAGGCATGAGACTGGGCACTTCACCATGGTAGCTGCATGATAGCGCCCTGAACCCTCCCCCCCTTTGCCATAACACCCATAATTCCTCTTGTGCTGAAATCGTGTGACTTTTTTTTTAGTATTTTATTTTCCCCAGTTACGTGTAAAAACAATTTATAACATTTGTTTTTAAAGCTTTAAGTTCCAAATTCTCTCCCTTCTTCCTCACCCCCCCATTGAGAAGGCATGCAATTTGATATAAATTATTTATGTGTAGTCATGCAAAAATATCCATAATAGTCATGTTATGAAAGAAAACATAGAATTTTATGCTTTAAATCTTTCTAATGAACCCTCCTGCGTGATACGAAGGGGTCAGGTTGAAAAAGAAAGTCACTTACTTTAGAGGCGGTCAGCTTGGAAGTTCACCTCAGGTAATGGTCTTTAGCCTTTTTTGAGTCATAGACTGTGTGGCAGCAGTCTGGTGAAACCTACGGACCCCTTCTCAGAATAATGCTTTTAAATGCATAAAATAAAAACGCATAGGATTGCAAAAGAAACCAGTTCTACTGAAATTCAGTCATCAAGATATTTTTTACCTTCCAAGTTCATGGACTTTCCCCACCCCCATCTATCCATGACTTCTGGATTAAGCACCTCTGACCTAAAATGTAAGTGAGTCATACTTGGGCTAATTAATACCTATTGTAGTCCCGATCTGGAGTCTCTGTTAGCTAAGGAACTGAACAGTAGAAGTGATGAGGAGAGATCAAAAGGGGCTTTTGGATTCTACCTCCTTTGGCAAGAGAAGGGGGTGAATTCTAGGAGGACCTAGCCCTAAGAGAAAAACAATGAGAACTTGTTGCTTTTTTTTTTCCAAATAGGGTGCATTGATGCCCTTTGTTTTTAATATTAGTCATTTTGGGGAATGCCTTTGACCCTCCCCCCATAATATAAAAGCATTAACAGAAAAACCCAATAAGGTAACCTCATCTGACAGCGTACCCCACATTCTGCCCTAATAGTCTCCAGCCTGAGATCACCTCTCATTTATAATAAATATGCATCTTGTACATACATAGTTATTTGCATATTGTCTCCCCCATTAGCATGTGAGCTCCTTGAGGGCAGGGATGGTATTTTTTGCCTCTCTTTATATCCCCTGCACTTAGCACAGTGCCTGGCATAGAGTAAAGGCTTAATAAATGCCTATTGACTGGCGCCATTGACCGACCAGCTGACTGCCTCTATTGTGAGGGTCACAGCTTATAGATTTAGAGCTGAGACAGTCTACCTTAATTTCAGTCATGACAGACCTGAATAAATCACTTAGCCAAACTCCTCATTTTATAGCTGGGGAAATTAAGGCCAACCCCCATGAGTGTACAGAAGTAGTATTGGTTATGGCGTGTGACGCTGGGCTCTTCACCATGGCAGCTGCAGGATAGCACCCTCAGGTTCAAGCTCAGTGCAAAAGCTGATGAAGATCCCATTTTGAAAGGTCTACGGTCATATTCTGAAGAGCAGATAGTAACATAATCCATACCTAGGAAGATTGTGGTTATTTAGCAACCTACATGAACAAAAAATGGCAGTTTTGACAGTTTGAGAATCTGCTCATGTGGATTCATGTGGGCGGATGTGTGGAGTCACAGCTGTGACATGAAAGGAAGAGAAGACATTGACAATCCACCAAACAAAGTAGGAGAGGGAATGGAAGAACTGTCATGGCGGAATTGGGAGATTAAAGTGATTGACAGCCGTTGTTTAATGACCATGGGATCACAGCTGATGAACACCTACTTGGGTATGACATAAAGAAAATAGCGTTTGATGAAGATTTCACCTTAAAAGAACTCTAAAATTCTGTGTTCAAAGCAGTTTGGAAATATTCTTGTGCTCGGTGGAAAGCAGAGTGGCTTGGAGTGTATACAGGTCATAACAGGCAAAGGGAAGGAAGATAACACTGGCAAAGGATTTTGAAGGTGGAAATGGAAGTCTGTTATAAAACAGTCACATTGGAACCTAAGATAATCACTGTGATAGAGATTTACCAAATGGTGATTGATGCGTGGAATAAATACATGTGTAAGACAAGTGGAGTTATCTTTACAATCTTAAAAGAGCTCCATCTGTTACCAAAAGAGGACTGTCTTCTAGTACTGAAGGAGGTAACATCAAAGAGGAGAGAATGTTCGATAATGTGATAAACAGTGACAGCTGTTCCCATCTCTCCATCCCCATGAGGAGATGCTATGTGGGAATTTCTCAGACTGATTCTTGACCTTTTGGTGAAAGGACCGAAACAGGATGGAAAATACTTTTACACGGAACAGCTATATGCATTTGAAGCCTTCTGAAAAACTCTGTGAAAAACAGTGGAGCTAGTTTTACTGTTCTCTGAAATTCTCAAAGGAAATTCTCTATCTTCCCTCCTACATGATGTGGGTATTTTACATTGGGAGAAAATTGACTTTGGAAGATGACTGTTGCTTGCATGTTGCCATCTTGGACCTAAATAAATTAAATTATATAATAAAATTATTAAGGGTTCTTAACCTGAGATCCATGAACCACCCCCCCCCACAGGATTTATGAATAGGTTTGGGGGGGGCGGGTTGCGATTTGGATAGGGAAAAGGGACTTTTGATTTCCTTTGTAATCCTATGTATGCTATTTTATACATTTAAAACATTCTGAAAAAGAGTCCATAGACTTGCTGAAGGGGTCCAAGACACTCAAAATGGTTGAGCCCCTGCTCCAGGATGGTCATGAAACTAGTCATCCTACTGCTTGTGAATTCTTTAAACTTTTTTAAAAAATAATTATTTTAATTTAAAAGACAAATGAAAAATGCATATTTTGATGAGGTTTTTTTGAAGGCCAGCTTAAATTTGAATTGGCTGCTCTGTTCGAGCTTAATGTACTTACATACTTAATGTCCTTAAGCTCAATATATTTAACTTCTTAGAATGGGAGTCTTTTTCTGTTGTAGGTTTTCATTATGGAGCTTTTACTGGTCTTTGTATATGAGAGTGTATTTGGGGGGGTAGGCTAGGGGGATGGGAGGAAATGGAGACATCTTAGGTTGTTTCATTTTATTCCTTTTTTTTTTTTTGTTTTACT